ATTTCTCTCGCTCTTTTTCCTTGAAAATACAAAACCATGTAGCTGGTGTGAAATGACTTTAGGGGCCTGTAATATGTCACACATTCACTCGCAGTTAGAGTTTAGAAGTGATCATTGTAAAGTCATGAAGACCAGTGGGGAAAAACTCAACATAAGAAGCAAAACCCACCAATGGTTTCCTCATAATGATGGTTAATGTGTCCTTAGAAAAATGAAAGCCAGATTTGTGAAATGCTGCTGACCAACACTTGTTTGTTTACCTACAAGTGAAGTGACAGAAACTAGGTCAGCAATGATGTTGTCCACAGTACAGCTACTTAGGATAAGCAACAGCTTTGATGTGTTGGTATGTGTTTACACTCAGATTTATGGAGCAAAGGATGTAGAAAAAAGACAGCTTAGGTTAAAACTGTACATTTACAAAGAATGTCCACTTCCAGTGTATCTGTTTATCTACACAGACTACAGCCAACCTAATGTATGTTATTCTCGTGACTCGAGCTTCTGTATGGTTTTAGTTACAACTGAGTGTGTTGTTTACATCGAGTGTGTAGCCACATTTCAGAAGTGCATATCATCATCATCATCATTCACTTTATTTCAGACACAGTATATGGTCCATTAATAAAAAAAAAAGAACACTAAGTTAAAAAGCTTTTCTGTAGAGGCTCAAACACCACTGAGTCCATAAAGTAGAAATATATCTACAGTGCATACTTCATTGAGTAACTTTAAGTAGTTTAGAATCTTGGATTAGGAGATTTCATTGTGGATACTAAAAGAAGAAGATGTTACCTGACAAAATAAAAGGTCTGTCTGTCTGTCTGTCTGCCTGCCTGTCTGTCTGTCTGCCTGTCTGTCTGCCTGCCTGCCTGTCTGTCTGTCTGTCAAGTCAGATTTATTTATAGAGCACATTTAAAACAGAAACTGTTACCAAAGTGCTTAACAAAAATATCACATCATCAAATAAAAAGTAGCAAGATATATTTACAGCACATGGAAAAAAATATAAAACCAAAAACAATTAGAAACAATGAAATACTAAATCAGATCTGATCACCTTGTGTTAAATAGGAATAATAACAAAAGCATCAACAGTACACAGACAGTCTGTCTGCCTGTCTGCCTGTCTGTCTGTCTGTCTGTCTGTCTGCCTGCCTGCCTGCCTGCCTGCCTGTCTGCCTGCCTGCCTGCCTGCCTGCCTGCCTGCCTTCCTGCCTGTCTGTCTGTCTGTCTGTCTATCTATCTATCTATCTATCTATCTATCTATCTATCTATGCATATATGTTATATATATGTGTGTTTGTATATATATATATGTATATATATATGCACTATATA